GAGAGAGAGAGAGAGAGAGAGAGAAAACTAAAGACTGCAGAGATATTTATGATCAGTCTTGGTCCTTTTTTAAATACCACACAGCTGTTGCTGTTTTTGTGCTTGTTTTGGTGTTTCTACGCGTGTATGCATGGCTGCGTACGATCACTGGCGATAATACAAACGTGTGTTTTATCTGAGGATGCCCTCGAGGGAAGGGGTGAGGAAGAAGAGAAGAGAGTAGAGGTGGAGGGGAAATGAGAAGAGGGGAGGAGAAAGGGAGAAAAGAGGTCGAGTACTCCCTCTACTCTCCACGCCCTCCCCCTCACAGACACACAAGCACGCACGCACGCACGCACGCACGCACGCACGCACGCACACACACACACACACACACTTTCGCAGTTTACAAAACCCTCGCTCGCTCGCCCGTCTTCCCCGGTGATTATCCCAGATCTTTATATCCTCTTATCCACCAAATGATCTCTCGGCCTCCATCACCCCCCTCCCCCCTCTCCTCTATCCCCTACTCCAGCGAGGGTTCATTAGGGGTGGAAAGGGGAGGCGCCGGCGAGAGGGGAGGGCCAGAGAGGGGAAAGGAGAAAGGGAAGAGGGGAAGGAAGGGTTAAGGAGAGACACCCGGCTTCGCTATTTCCTCGGCCGCCATGCGATTACGGGAAACGCATTATCCTTCGAAGCCGTTAAGGTTAGAAGAGTAAACAAAACGAAACAAACAAAAAAAAAAAAAAAAAACAGAAATCAACATCAATTATATTCTAGTTAAAGAATGAGCCTCTCCTTTTAAGTATTAAGCTGTTTTCCTTTCTCCTTTCTGAACTTTCTTTTCTCTTCATCTTTTCGAAATTCTTTCTCTATCTCTCCGTACATATTACTCAACTCTCGCTGCCTCTTTAGAGTGAATAGCGAGAACACTTGAAGTCATGATTTTCTCCGAAAGTTCTACGTCTAGACAAAATTATCTAAAGTTTTAAGGATTTGAGAGATATGAATGGCGGAGGGAGGTGGAGGAAGGGGGGGAGGGAGGCAGGCGAAGGAAGAAGGAAGACGTGGGAGATCCTATAAAACATCATGTAAAAGAGAAAGAGAAAGAAATGAGAGGAGATGAGAGAGAGAGGGAGAAGAGACGAGAGAGGGAGAGAGAGAGAGAGGGAGAGAGAGAGAGAGAGAGAGAGAGAGAGAGAGAGAGAGAGAGAGAGAGAGAGAGAGAGAGAGAGAGAGAGAGAGAGAGAGAGAGAGAGAGAGAGAGAGAGAGAGAGAGAGAGAGAGAGAGAGAAAGCATCCTTCAGCCCCACACGTTCGCGTGAGAAGGAGCTCTCACAATAAAAATGTTCCGCGTGAGGGATCGTAGGAACCTTCATCGCGATAGTGACGCCACCGCCAAGGTGCGGTTTGTGGTCTCAACCTCCTTCTCCTCCTCCTGCTGCTCCACCTCCACCTCCTCGCCCTTCTTCTTCTCCGCCTCCTCCTTTTCCTCTTTCTCCCTGGTAAAACTAATCCTCCACGCTGGCGCCAGGACCCGCCCCCCCCCCCTTCGTCTCCTACAAGGAATACCGTCAGTTTCAACCCGGATCCGATCGCGAGCGGACAAAAAGTGATGAGATGTAACAAGACGCCGCCCGTAGCGTCCGTCAGTGCCACTTCTGCACGTGACGGCCCGCAGCCCCTCCTTTTTAAAATCGGTTCTAAAGCAACGAAAATAATTATCAACGAAGGTAAACATCTGCTCGAGTGGCTTCCCCTTTCGCGTCTCAGCGAGTACTCTCCCTTCCCCTCGCCCTATTCCGCAGCCTCCAATGCCCTTCAGGGTCTAACGTTACGGCGACAGACACGACGTACGAGGTCTGTGCCCTCACTGTCTCTCGCCCCCCCCCCCCACCCTGCCCCAATGGCGGCCTTGCCCATCCCACATGCACGCCCGCTCAGGCTCCGCCCCTATCGTTCTCCTTATCGCTCGAGCGCTTCGCAGCTCATAATTAAGGCGCTCATGTGATCGGTGGACTCTATGGTACTTTCTTCCATCCTCTCTCAGTAACAAAAGCGAAACATGCGAGTTGCAAGGCACATCTCCATACTGCCAGAGTGCCAGCTGAATGGCTATCGTGAATGCTTTCAGGTCAGTCAGCGAGCGTCACCACTTCCCACAAATGACCCTGCGATCTCTGGCACAACAAAAAAGGCTTTGTCTGTCGCTAAAAAGACTTCACGCTGTAACGCAAACAGTACAAAGGGTGAAGGCCCTGAAGTGTGGCCGATGGGATGATGACGACAGAGCAATCATTGCGGGGACTGTTAGCTGAGCGACCACATGGGCGG